AGACTTCAGATGAAAGCTAAGTAGTAGAATTCATTATCCAATTCAAACAAAATACATGTTTTCAGAATTTCAAAAGAAAATAAATAAAAGGAAATTCTGAAATAAAAAGGACACTGCTAGAGAAAATGGTGTGGTTACCACTGCTCTACTGAGAAGCGACAGCCTCCCGAGAGGAGTACAAGGTCCCTTGGCCTTGGGTTACACTGGGGGAATGCAAATCAGAAACCAAGGAACTAGACCACCTCTTAATCCGATACTGCTGTTTTAAGAAGAACTACTATACATTTTATCAAGTAAATGTCATTGGATTTTAGTTCTCAAATAGTTTTTTCCTTCAAATGAAGAGCAGCCATGTAACGTGTTGAGGGCTCTCATTAAGAACCATATCTAATAAGGCTGTCCCAAAGGAAGATGCACGGCATGGAGTGTACCTATGCACATGAGCCACAAACTCCATCACCCTCACTTTGAAAACATACCCACAATCTCCCCACTTTGCTTCCCTTCTTCTGTTACCATTTTGTTCCAAACCACCATTATTTCTTACAAGGATTATTGCAAAAGCCTCCTAAGTAATCCCCATGACGGCAATATTGCATTTGTTCACTTAAGCAATGTTTTACATTCTCTTCCTTGCGTTCTATATGTGTGTGAATGCCATCTTTCATGAATGCAACTTCTTTTCATTACAGAAATTTTTGCTTGATGTAATCAATAAACTTTGACATATGATATTAAAAAAACAGAAAGATAGTCCCCTGACTCCATCCACCCTTGCTCCATTATAGCACGCTCGGCACACAGCAGCCCTGACAATCACTATACAACATGAGGCAGACCAACCCTCTCTATCAGCTTCCCATTCTACCTGAATGCACCATTCTGGTCATTTAGAAGTCCCTTCATGGTTGGACCCTCCTACATCTCTGTGAACTCACCTTGAACCATTCTCTTCTTCCCTTATTGCACTCAGATGCAACGTCTACCTTGTGAATCCTTGCATACACCAAACGTACTCTTCTCACTTCAGGTCCTGAGCACCTGCTACTTCCTCGCCCTGCAAGGCTCTTCTCCCCAGTAGACACAAGACTTGCTCCGCTGCTTCCTCCCAGACTTTGGGCCCTGCTGCCCACTCTCTGCAGCACCCCTGCTTATTTTTCCCAATGTGCTTACTGCCATTTGACAAACTATATATGCTCTTTTTTTTGCATTACCTGATTAGAGAGGTATTTTCAATACCCAAAAGAGCAGGTGTGTGTTCCTCGCTCAATCTCACACAACAGGACACAAACAAGTTGATTATCAATAAGTATCAATAATGATCAAATGAATGAATAAATGACTCTTGAGCTTGTTTCTTATCCCAAACTAGATGTAGATGCTTTTTTCAAGCCACATATCATTATGTTTCTATTTCCTTATGACACAGCATATTCCTGTTGTGTTGACCTTAAATTCTTATTCATGGTGTACAAAATGTTAATAGAGGAGATTGGTTGGATTTGCCATTCATCTGGGCAATGAGAGAGATAGACTGGGAGCAGGAGGAGAGAATCTCGTGGACCACCAAGAAAGAGGAGCCACCATTTATCTTAAAACAATCAGCCACAAGTAGAAAGAAAATGCCTTGAGAATGATGATGCCAACGAATGCACAAATATGCTCGAGACAATGGATGGATGGATGGATTGTGATAACAGTTGTACACGCCCCCAATAAAATGATTTTTTTAAAAGGAAGAGAGACTTCGTGGCAATATAAAAAACAGAGCAACAACAACAACAAAAGATACAAGCAGCCATCTAAGTGAGACATCAGCTAAGTTCACAGTGAGGAAGCACACCAGCCTGTGTGCATGTGTGATCCAAGGATTTTAAATAATAAAATTCAAATCCACAGGGAGGAGTGGTATCAGAGCTTAAATTCAGAATACACGGTTTTCAGAGGGCTATGGATGACAGTGGAAGCCCAAAATCCATTTCAGTGCCCCCTCAGGTAAGTCCTCTTTGACTGTAGTCCAGGAAGGTGAATAGCCTTGCAGTCCAGCAGAGAGCACTGTAAACTTGACTATAGTAGATATGATTAAGATCAAACTAACATCTGATCATTTAATCACTGTTTGGACCCATTTTCAATTTATTCCAACTTTTAATATTCTCTGTTTTCTTCTCAATTGAGGTCTTTCTCTGTTTCATTTTGTCCTTGTTGTTGGGGTTTGTTTGTTTCTTGTTTTGAGTGTTTTTCTGTATAGGAAATCTAGTATAGGTAAATCTAGAGACAGTAATTGGATTAACAATTAATTACCTAGGAGCAGGCATATGAGTTTGGGAGAAAATGGGGAGTGAACAACAATGATTACAAGGAAAAAAAAGTTCTAAAATTGATTGTGGTGATGATTGCCTAATTCTAAATATGACTGAACTATTTAATTGTATAGTATGTGAATTATATGCCAACAAAAATATTAAAAAGGGTAAAAGGAAGAGGCCCCAATGGAACATGTGTGAGATTCCTGCCTGAAATGGGGGAGGCAGCAGAGGCACCTGGGGCCATGTCAGGCTAAGCCCACCAGACAGAGCAGAGGACCACTGCCAAGATTGTGAGACAGAGTAGCAGGTGGGCTTCCTGACATATGGAGGCCAAGACCCAGACAGACACACCTGCCAGCATGGCTGAGAGGTGGCACTGTGGGCAAAAGAACGGTACTCTTAACATTTTGCAATGGTTACCTACCCAAGTAAACCTCATACTTGTGGTACTGACTCTCAGGTCTATGTAGCCACTGCAATGGATCATCAAACCCAACAGAGGAGGAGAGTTTGGTGGGAGGGATAGCTGGTGTCAGGATAGGGTAAAAGAGGATGGCAGGTGAGGCGTGTCTTGACTGCTGCCTTGTAATCATCGGGCTTGAACAGGTATGGAATTGCATTGACCCTCTCCCTTGTGTGGCCAGAGGAGGTGAGACCTGGCTTCCATATGATTTTCTCACTTCTTTTTTGTTTTTCCTCTTTTTTAACATTTTATTAGGGGCTCATACAACTGTTATCCCAATCCATACACACATCAATTGTGTAAAGCGCATTTGTACATCGTTTCTCAAAACATTTTCTCTCCATTTAAACCCCCGACATTAGGTCCTCATTTTTCCCCTCCCTCCACGCTCCCCCCTCCCGCATGAGCCCTTGATAGTTTATAAATGGGTATTTTGTCATATCTTGCCCTGTCCGACGTCTCCCTTCATCCACTTTTTGGTTGTCTGTCCCCCAGGGAGGAGGTCACACACAGTTCCATGTAATCGGTTCCCTCTTTCCTACCCATTCTCCCTTTACCCTCCCTGTTTTGCCACTCACACCACTGGTCCTGTAAGGTTCATCCACCCTGGATTCCCTGGATTTTCAGTTCCTATCTGTACCAGTGTACCTCCTCTGGTCTAGCCAGTCTTGCAAGATAGAATTTGAGTCATGGTAGTGGGAGCGGGGAGGAAACCTTTAGGAACTAGAGGAAGGTTGTATTTCTCATCATTGTTACATCGCACCCTGACTGGCTCATCTCCTCCCCGAGACCCCTCTGCAAGGGGATCTCCAGTGGCCTACTAATGGGCTTTGGATCTCCACTCCGCACTCCCCCCATCCTTCACTATGGTAAGATTTTCTCACTTCTTATGTTAATAACAACCTTATACTTATCTTAATACTCTGCTAATATCAGGAACCATGATTTATTTGAAAATACACTTCTATAAATATACCTGGTATGTTATGCAATCCTTTACCAAATAGCCCAGTACCAGTTCTTAAAGGAACTGGAAACACAGGGAATCCAGGGCGGATGATCCCTTCAGGATCAGTGGTGTGAGTGGTGATTCTGGGAGGATAGAGAGAGAGTGGATTGGAAAGAGGGAACCAATTATAAGGAACTATATGTGACTCCCTCCCTGGGGGATGGACAACAGAAAAGTGGGTGAAGGGAGATGTCGGAAAGGGCAAGATATGACAAAATAATAATTTATAAATTATCAAGGGCTCATGAGGGAGGGGGGAGCAGGGAGGGAGGGGAAAAATGAGGACCTAATGCAGGGGGCTTAAGTGGAGAGAGGAAATGTTTTGAGAACGATGAGGGCAATGAATGTACAAATGTGCTTTACACAATTGATGCGTGTATGGATTGTGATAAGAGTTGTATGAGCCCCTAATAAAATGATTTAAAAATAAAAAATAAACTGCTAAGGAACATTCTCCCTTCATAAGCAGCTGGCAAATTCAATGATAATGAGATTTTGCAAAGTGCCTGGTATCAGCTGAGTACTGAGGGGGAAGCCACCACAAAAGTTTGGAATGACATTAGCAAATCACAGACTTTCAGTACATTGAGGAAACTTAGCAGAAAGCTGCCTCCATTAATGAATTAAAAAAAAAAAAAAAAGAACCAGATAGTACATGCTTCACTCATTCTTAATAAAGAAATAAACAGTCAAAGGAAACTGATATGACAGGGTATTTTCTAAGAAAATTAATTCAAGCATCCCTACAGGGTCTAAGACCCATTTAACCCATATATATTGCACAGCTCATTGGTATTTTTAACAATAAACTTATTCATTACAAAAAGATTAAATTATGATCAATATGTTGGGGGGGAAATGACAAGCATTCTTTGTTTTTTCCTTAACATATTGATCACAATTTCCAGCACTTTCTTTAACAAAGAAGGCAACAAGGAGTTTTATACTTTCATCAAATCTGCTAAAACTTAAAGGTATGTATGAAAGGGGTGAAACCTTCACTACTGGGTAAAGCTAGCAATACACAGCAATTTATTCCCCACAACTGGTGGACAAGCACAGTTTGATGTTCCAGTCAAATCCTCTGAGAACTGGTAATTCATAATTATAACCATCAAAGTAGCTGATAGACTAGAGCTCTTTCTATGCCCAAAAGAGAACAGAATTAAAATAAATTATACAGTAGGGCAATTTCTTGCCTGCTACGGTATAAGCTCACCTGAGGTATAAGTCTATCCAAATGCTCAGCTCGGTTTCCATGGGAAGGGTGAGTGGATAACCATTCTGGCAAGCGGGGGTGACCAAGAAGTCGATCTGCAAACTCCATCTGCTGCCAAAATACTGAACTCGCTCTGACATCCACACATGCCTAAATTCAAAATTAATAACAGCACAGAGTGAGAACATTCATGAGCAGGTAGGTCTTGAAAGTTTACCTTTATGTTATTAAGTAGTAGAATCTGACCCTTGTCAGTCAGAGCAGCATTCTGCTCCACTGGGTTTTCAGGGCCCGAGTTTTTAGAAGCAAATCACCAGGTCTTTCTTCCAAAATACCACTGGATGGATGCAAAACTCCAATCTTCCAGTTGGAGAGGGGGGAAAGGTTAACCATTTGCCCCACCCAGAACTCCTTTATGTCACTACTCATTAATATCATTAAACATACTGTACCATGAGTATAATCACAGTAGAATTTTTTCATTGCTCAGAAGAAAAAACTCAAATATATGCTCTTCTAAAATAAGAGTGAAGAACACCCAAACTTTTTACCTAATCCTCTCCCCAGACAAGACACATAACTCATTCCACTCCCCAAGCATAATGCTTTTCGGTTTGAAGGCTACTAAGAACATGTACTAAGAGCACAAATCTTCCACACCATTTAAAGTATCCTATGTTCTCAAAGCTGAGACACTGGGATTGAACAGAACAACCACTATGAAGACGGTGCTGGGCCAGCAGCATTTCATCCTGCTGCACACGGGGTTGCTATGGGGTGCCACCAACTCGAGCGTCGTTTGAGTTGCCTAACAACAACAAACAGTACATCTTCACAAATATAAGGCTTTAAAACCTAATCTATTAGCAAGCTGCACTGAAGAATGTGTACTCTTGGCCTGTATCATCAGAAAAATTAAGCAGAGGACACAAAAGAAACATACAGGGGGGAAAAGACAGCTATATTGTAATAAATACATCTATTTATTCACTTTTCCTCAATACACATTCTAAGAAATCTATTTTATATTGATTCAAAATACCTTATGAAAGTATTAGCTTTTAAAAAGATATATAAGCTATGTCTTGTGTATATGCGCGTACAATTCCACACACTTACTCATACATATACCCACACTCATATATTTGTACATGCATAGAATACTTCCGGAAGACTAATACATAAAATATCAAATGGAAGTGTAAGGTGTTGGATGAGAGAGAAGGAGCAAGACTTTTACTTCTAAATGAAATTAAAACATACCTAATTATTTCAAGTTACATAAAAGATAATTTAATAAACAAGTCTGCTTAACTTATTTATAGGTTTTAAGCTAATCTATTTTCTATACAAAGTGACTAGGATTTTATTTCCCAACTATTTTGCTTCCAATTAAAGTATAAAGAAGGAATATAATGTATTGACAGAAATATGCTATCAAACAGCCTTAATACTGTTCACCAAAAGCTAAACAGAGTACATTATCTACTGATACAACTAGTCAGCTTTCATGCTACATCTTTTCTTAATAAATACCATTAAAGCATTTCCAAATGTTGGGAAAATATGAAATTGAAGTAAAATGTATTTGACATCTAAAGCAAAACCCAAAGGGGCTACACAAAGTGCGTGGAGAAATGGAAGTGCCTGGCCCATAGGAAGCGGGGCCACCATTTGGGTGCAAACGCACAGCCCTGACTCTGTGAGCTGACCAGGGGACCAGGAGACCCGACTCGTCCAATTGAGGCAGGGACTTCTGTGCCTCTCTGTGCCTGCCCCTCAGCATCCATGTGGGCAGAAGAATCAAACAGCCTGACAACAGTGGCTGGCCAGCCAGCAAGCTAGACAAACCGAAAAACCAAATTCACTGTCATCAAGTCAATTCTGGGTCAGTGTGACCCTACAGGGCAGGGTAGAACTGCTTCTGTGAGTTTCTATGGTTGTAAGTCTTTACAGGAGTAGAAAGCCTCATCTTTCTCCTGCAAAGTAGCTGGTGGTTTGGAACGGCTGAACTTTTGGTTAGCAGCCCAATGCCTAACCCACTACACCATCAGTTACATTAAGGCAGGGCAAGTCTCAACCACATAAGGGGCCTCAACAGCCCATGCACTTCCCGGGCTGGGGCTGGCCTCCTGGCAGGGCTGTTTGCTGGGTGGAAAGAATGATTTCTTCAGGCACAGAGGAAAGAGCTTTGCAGAGCAGGGAAGGCATCCTGCTGGGAGAAGAGCTGCTTTAGACACTCAAAGGTAGGCTGCTGGGAACCAGCCACCACTCACTTCAACAAAACACTTCATATAAAGTTCACTGGCCAAAGGAAAAAAATTAACTGAAATCATCAATATAAGAAAAAATACTATAGTGTGCTTATCAAGTATTGCACAGGGGGTGTGCATTATGAAAACCATATAATGTATGTAGTACTTGACTGAAAATAAGGTACTATGATTTGAAAAGAAGCCAAAGCTGTGTATCCTATTTCACAAACTTTAAGCACCCACAGGAAGGAATATGTTGCTCGTTAGCAGACTGAAACATTCACATAATAACGAATGTATACGGAGTGTATCCTTTAAAGTAATTCATAAAAATAAGAAATAACGATGGACTTCTGGGAAGATGGCGACTGAGTAACACATACCAGAGGGACTGCAGAAATCAGCCTAAGAGAGTTATTAAGGGGAAATCCCACACTGCCGGGTCACAGGAGGAGCATCATAAAGATAAGTAGGCACAGATCCACTAGGTTTTGAGGAGCTGGGGGCTTTGGGCTTACCACTGTGGGGGCTGGCTAGGGTTTGACCTTAGCCCCGCCACTGTCTCAACCAGGGCCAGGATCATTTGGAGCAGAGGCAGCGACTTTATCTCAATACAGCCACAGTTTGCCACTGCCTCAGGGCAGGGATTAAACCCTTCCAACTCCATGGTCTCGGATCGGCTCAGCTATATTGTTACTATTGTTTCCCTCTCTTCTCTCTATCCCCTTACAGTCTCATCAGGCTTACTTCTGTTTTGTTTTTTTTGTCTTTGTCTTTTTCTTCCTTTTATTTTCACCTTTCTCTCACATGCTACCGCTGACCTCCAGACCACTCCCCATAGCCTAGGACATTTATGCCTGCCCTCCACCCAGTTGGGAGAGCTCCAACATCTGCAGTGTAACCTGAGGCTGGGGAAAACTTGCCCAACCTCCACCAGGGGGTATTCCGCCCAACTTCTTCCGGGGGAAATTCTGCCCGCCTGCCTTCTGCAGTGCTTAACATGTGGCTGGGGAATACCACCCACCTTCTTTGGGGAAAATCCTGCCTGTGTGGCTGGGCAAGCTCCTATGCATCCTCTGTGGTCCCACGTGACTGAGGGAACTTCCTCCAGCCTGCGGTAGTGCCTCACAAGGCAGGCAGCTCGGCCAACACTCGCCAACATTCCACACTGCTGCAGGAACCTGTGCCCAATCTCCACAGTAATCTACCTCACCAGGGCAATTCCACCCACCATTCTCAGTGCTCTACACCAAAGTGGCCAACCCACCAGCCTTCTGTGGCACTTCCGTTGCAGCAGGTACTCCCGCATACCTTCTGTGGCACCCCAAACTGCCATGGGCCACACCATCACGGCTTCTTGTGAGATCACCCAGTACAACACCTTCCTTGTAGGTCCACAAAAACCCAACCAGTGTCCCCTGAGAGGACCATCCAACTTGCCCTCCAAGTAATAGAATACTGGTTGACTAGAGAAAGAGCGAAGCCACAGGAAGATAAAGTGGTAGGCCAATTCCATAGTGAAATTAGCTGCAGGCAAATCAAATAAGCATTCCTACAAGTCTCCCAGAGTGAGCCAGTGCTCTTCGACTCCCTGGAGAATGGCACCTGGCTCCTCTAAAACAGCGCAATGCGAACAGGCATCAGCCCCAATGACCTCAACAAAAAAACAGGAGAAACAAAGGGTAATGGTAGAAGATGTCCTGAACCTAACAACATGCATAGAAGAAGCAGTCACTGATATGCCACAGAAAAAAATTTTCAGAATGTTGCTTGGAGTCATACAGGATATAAGGGAACCAATACAGAAAAAGGATGAAACGATAGAGGAGATAAAGACCATACACCAAAGGGAAATTCAAGAGCTTAGGAACAAGATAAAAAAACAAAAACAGTAGCAGACTCATGGTCTTCGAGAATCGATTGGAGGAGGCAGAGAACCACACCAGTGACCTAGACGACAGCCAGGCAGATTTTAACAAATGCTAACAAAAATCTAATAAGATCATCAGAGAAGCTGAAGAAAGCCTAAGAGTTATATCTGATGCTATCAAGAGGAACAACATCAGATATATTGGATTACCGGTGGAAGACACAACAAGTCATCTGCAACAATAGTGAGAGAATTCCTGGAGGAAAACATTCCCAGCTTAATGAATTAAAACCAGGCAACTATTCAGGAGGCTGAAAGAACACCAGAAGAAGTCACCAAGGCACATAATAGTTAAACTATCCAACTTTGAAGAAAAAGAGAAAATCATGAGAGCAGCTAGGGAAAAACAAGCAATCACATATAAAGGTTCCCAAATAAGAATATACTCAGACCTATCTATCAGTGGACACTATGAAGAAGAGGCGAGAGTAAAGTAACATATTCCAAAAATTGAAGGAAAATAGTGCAAACCCAAGAATACTCTACCCAACAAAATTATCGATCAAGATAAATGGAGAAGAGTCTTCCCAGACAAGGAAAAATCAAAGAATATGTTAGAAGAAATCCAGCCCTACAAAAGATCATTGCCGACCCAGTATGGGCAGAACAGCACTCACCAAGCATAAATAAGAGACTGTCATATAGAACGACCCAAGGGCAACAAAGAGAAAACAGCCCCCAAGATAGCATTGGCTTCAAAGTAGAAAAAAGTCAAGAATGCTACACACACACACAAACACACACACACACATATGCACAACACACTGATAAGAAAGGGAGATAGGAAAACACCCAACACAAAAGGTATAAGATGACATCACAGAGTCCACAGATGGAGATAATAACCCTGAATATGAATGGGCTGAACTCAGGCATTAAAAGACTGAGGTTATCAGACTGGCTTAGAAAACACAACCCATCAATCTGCTGTCTACAGGAGACACACCTCAAGACTACAGACAAAA